GGATGTAAATGTTTGTAGGAATGAGAGTTCTGATTGCATTTACTCAGGTCTGGCAGCAGTATTAATGTATGTCTAGCATGAAACATACTTAGGCTTTAATTGTAATCCCCGAGCACATCATCACCAAGACCATCAATTGCTAGAAATATCACAACTGCAGAGAACAATTAAAAATCTTCTAGCTGCTACTAGAAACATGTCAATACAAGAGTCTCAGAAGTAAAAATACCATAGCTTGGAAAGACTGTCAGGGAATGTGAGATATTAATCTCCCCTGCCATATTCCAGACAAGCTACAGCAAGTATCATTCTCACTCTTCATATCCAAGGCCCCTCTTTTCTCTGCCTTTGTACATTGAATCCTACCAGCAATATTAAAATAATGAAAATCATGGCAGGGTGTTTGTAGACCCCAGCCCCGCCCCCCTTCAGCCTCAGATTTTCCATACACTTCTCTGAAGTCATATTATTGATAAAGAACAGCACGTAGACTGGAAGGAAGTGGGAGCACCAGAGGGCATTCCATCTTCCAGGAGGGCTCCTGGAGGTGGAGGTGTGACAGGCTTGCCCTGAGAGTAGGTAAAAATCTGGAGAGACAGACTGGAGGAAGTGTGGGGAGCAGGAAGCAGCTTTCATGCTTGAAGCAGACCAGGTGAGTCGGGAGAAATAACCAGGGCAGGAGCTGCTTTTTCCGTCTTCCATAGAACAATCTGCTTGAAAATAGCAGCAGGAGTGAAGAAGGCATTTTGCTGCTGCTGTTTCTTGCAGCTTGCAAAGGGTTGATAAGGCCTCAGAAAGGTTTTTCCATTAAAGTGGGCTAGGATGCTGAAGAGGGATGCTGGCTGCTGGGCAGGGCTGTGCAGAACAATCTCCTTCATGCCAGTGGTGTAAGGAAAGCTCCCACAGGAGGAGCATATGAATGGCTGAGGCAATGCAAATGCACCCATCAGTTTATAATTTCACGATATAGACAAAGGTCTAAGCTACAAAAACCAACCAAAAAAATGGGTTCCATTAGAAACAGCATTATTTTTCACATGGTCTGTTGGGTTTTAGTGGTAGTGTGCCCAATAAATCCAAAATGATATGACCAATCATTCTGTTACGGTGATCTGCGTATACAGCTTGCTTCCTCTGAAAGCTAATGCACAAATACTTTAAGAAGTTACTTTGGGAGGCAGAGCAAAGTTTTCTGATTTCTTTTGAATCAGAAAACTAATGAGGCTGTAAAACCTCAAGTAAACTTTAAATTTACTTAATTTCTTGAGTCAGTCTTGATATGGGGGAGAGAACAGAGGGAAAAGAGACAAGACACAAAACAGCCACGAAACGAGACTCAGAAGATGATCCTACTGAGTTTTGGAGTGAGTAATGCCAAAAGCTTTATGCTTGCTACTGCCATTACAGCTTACCCAGACATTCCCAAAGGAAGACACTTGAATACCTGTTGCTGGAAGTGTCAAATTATCTCCATTGCCACATCTCAAAGAACAAAGGTCTGTTTGTGTCTTTGCTACGTGTTATTAAAGCATTGTGAAGGGGCTCATACAGTCAGATCTGGGGACAGACCCACATACAATGAAACTAAGAGAAAACATTTCAGAGATATTAAAGATGAGCAAGAACCAGATAAAGGAGATACCCTAAATGGTCTTCATGATACATTAACCTTCAGATCAAGTCTGTGTGGCACAGACACCTTTTTGAAACACACTATGTAGAGCTGAGTAAGAAGTTTTTTCTATTTTATTTTTCATCTTACTAGCTATAGACCTTAAACTGTTAGTACTCCATAAAGGTATCCTGCCAAGGACAGACTAATTTTGCTGACAAAGAAGCCCAGGAAGCTGTCAGGAGTATTGCTGTTATAAAGATACAGATTACCTGCATGCTATCACCTCTCCCACCATCCCCACTGCTGCTCTTTTGGAACAGCTTAGCAAAAATCACCTACCTCAAGTTCTGTACAGACAGTGAGTTGGGTGATAAAATAAATGGCAAACCATTCAAAGTATCTCTTTATTCATTTATATACTGCTTATAGACAGGTATACTGGGCATTGAAGAAAGCATCCCTCCCTCCGTTCCAGACTGGGACTGATGTCCTCTAAAATTCTGCAGCTCTACTGGGCCTGTATTTATGCAACTTTCTTTTGAAAAAGGAGGTTAGATTATGAACACTTACAATGGCTGTGATTGCTGTTTTCTTCGTCTCCTCTAAAATGTCACCCTCTAGGTAACTTTCAGAGTTCTGGAATATCAGCCCCTCATGTTCATATCTTCTTTCTCCTCCTTTCTGATTCCAAACTCCTGAATGAATGGTGCGGGTTGGAACGCACTAGTCCAACCCTGCTGCCATGGGCAGGAACACCCTCCACTAGATAAAGGTTGTGAAGAACCTCATCCAACACATCCTTGGATGTTTCCAGGAATGGTAATCTGCCACCTCTCTGGGCAACCTGTTCCAGCATTTTTCCATCCTCACTGGAAAAAATTTCTTCCATCTAATCTAAATAGTCCCTCTTTTTGTTTAAAACCATTACTCTCCATCCTATTACAACAGGCCCTGCTACAAAGTCTGTCACCATCTTTCCTGTAGACTACCCTGAAGTACTGAAAGGCTGCAATGAGGTCTCCATGGAGCCTTCTCTTCTCCAGAGAACACCACCAGCTCTCTCAGCCTTTTCTTATTGGAGAGGTGCTCCAACCATGTGACTTCATCTGAAGTCCTCATCTGTTTTTTCTACTTGGCAAAATATTGTTTTGTCTAAGCCTGGATTTTTCTGTAATTTGTATGGATTGATAGCTGTAGTATGAGAGTGAGGACACAAAGCTGCTTGATGTGCTTTCTTTGGCTGGCTCCAGTTTTATGGTACTGAAGTTTGCAGAATGCCTTTTGGAACAACATCAGACAGACTCTGCAACATAAACTCTGTGTCAGAAGAACTAGAGAAAAAAAGACTAGTATCAGTAAAACAATAAGAAACATTGCAGAACTCTTTCCTCCTCATCTCCTTTGACCCCTTGCCACAGCCCCCCAAGGCCTACCTGTGCAAAGTATGTCTGCATGAGTGCAGCAGCTGAAATAATGTCTGGTTGACACTGGCAATCTCTGTCCTCGGGAGAGGAATCCATGATTCTTTCTGCATTTCACGTTTGGGATCACATTGCCAGCATCACCTTCTGTCCAAGGACTCCTTTGGCACACATATCTTACTTATGCTTTTTGAAACACTGGATGTGTCCATGCATATTTCAATGGATAGATCACAGAACACAACTTTTTATGGTCCCATAATTATTACAAAGAAGCGTGCTTTGCTGGCATACCTGACCCGTCAAGCTGGTTGTGAGGAATATGATGTTGGAGGTTTGGATTTTGTTTCCTAACACTAGGGTTTTAAAATGAGTAAGAGCACATTCTGCAACAGGCTAAAATGCTATAAAGTTTATCCAAGGACCATCATTCTTCTCAGGACTGGGACTGTATTTCCCAAGTTTTTCAGTACTGCTGTTCAATTTATAGCAATGTCCCATACCTGCCAGCTACACTTTAAAAGAAATGCTTTCCAGATGCAGAGCAAACCTGTCTTGCTGTCTTCAGATCTGAATTTTAGAGTGGTTTTGAACTGGGAGTTGACAAGCTGCAAGTCATTCTGTCCAAGCTGGATCTGTTGGATTTAGAGCTTCTCAAAACTTTTCAGGTTGACTGAGACATTTATATAGATACTGCCCCCATTCCAGACAGCTCAGCAGGATCATTTAAGAGCTGAAATACTGTGCAGTCAGCCACATCCTGGAATGGGTTTCCCATAAAGCTGTGGAAGCATTGAGCAGTTGTTCTGCCCACAGTGTCTCCTTTCTGGGTGAGGAAATGTTCTGTGGCTCCAGCAGATGGCTCAGCAAGGCATTGCTGATTCATTCCCCCTTTTTGCTGCTTTGTTGCTGCAACAAAGGCAATTCCCAGCATATTCAGACACTAGTCAGTGCTTTGTAGAAAGGGGACCCATCCAAACAGCATGTAAGATCAGTACAGTCATTCTCAGGAGCTTTAATGATGTAAACCTGTCCACTGACAACAACTCTAGTAATGGAGCAGTTCCACGATTTTTTGAGTAACTTCCCCACCAATCACTCTAGTCTTGGTGTCTTTTAACATCTTTAACAGAAGGAACTACATCCCCCTCATGACAGTCACACATCTCAAGAACAAGAGCAACCCTCCCACAGGAGCAGCAGGCACAGAGGGAATGGCAGGGAATGCCCAGGGCTGCAGAGGGTTGTTGTGACAAGACCAAGTACTACCAGAACACCACCATCTCTTCTTCAGAGCAGGGCATCTTTCAGGTTCTGCATTTGTGCATTTTTAAGCATAAAATTCACCTCTTTCGTATACTGGCACAGCATATCTTACTCCACTCTGAGTTGTATCCAGCTCCAGGGATACTCTCCCAGCAAATGCTACGAGAATTTGCTTTGTTCAGCCTGGAGAAGAGAAGGCTTCAAGATGACCTAATTGAAACCCTCCAGTACCTGAACGGAGCCTACAAGAAAGATGGAGATGGACCTTTCACTTTGTAGTGACAGGACAAGAAGGAACGGATTAAACTGAGAAAGAGCTGATTTAGATTAGATATTAGGAAGAGTTTTTCACTTTGAGAGTGGTGAGGCACTGGAACAGGTTGCCCAGAGAAGCTGTGGATGCCCCATCCCCGAAAGTGTTCAAGGCCAGGCTGGATGGGGCTTTGAACAACCTGGTCTAGTGAAAGGTGTCCCAGCCCATGTCAGGGGGCTGGAACTAGATGATCTTTAAGGTCCCTTCCAACCCAAACCATTCTATGATTCTGTGATTCTGTGACCTTGCTATTGGCTGGATCAACACTGGATCACACAATAAACGCTCACTGGAGGTAGCTCACTATTTGCTAGATTTAATCTAGAAAAGAGGCTTAGTTGGAGGCACTCTGGTGCCAAGAGATATTAAATTAAACAAAATTTTATCAGGTATGTAATTATTTATTGAGCTGAGAATCCATACAAGATAAACAAATGTTTACACTATCATACAGTAAGCATTTCCAGGGCCTAATAAAAATGATTGTCACTCACTGTGCTTCACCAAAAAAAATCATTTTAATGAATAAATAATTTGATGAAATCAAAAAATATTTACAATATCAACAAATGAAAAAGCTTTGGATATATTAATCTGAGCATCCTGTCTTTTGTATTTTTTAATGCATTCCTATCAAAATCCTCTCTATGAAATGGTACAAAGTGGATAGAAATTACAACTCAACAAAGTTATCATGATTTGGTACATGTCTTTCTGTTAGTTCAGATAAGCTACATATGATTTGTTTATTATGCATGTGTTAGAATACAAATATAACTAAAATCATATATTATCAAAATGCCAGACAGCATTCTCCACAGAACAGAAATGTACACTAGGCTGTGACAAGAACTGAGAATCACAGGCAACAAAATGTAACAGAAAAAGTACAAATTCCTTCATAAGAATATAATTGTGCTCTCTTATTTACCAAAGAACTATGCTGCTTCACCACATCGATGGCTGAGTGTGGGCTGCCCTGGACTGAGTCCCGCAGGGTGACCCACTGCTGGCCAGTCGATGGTCGCCCAGACCGTGTAATGTAAACTCCACCAAGGACGAGAGGACTCTCAGGCTGTAGAATGCACGAGGGTTTATAGGAGGGAAGTCTGAGGGTTGAAGGAAACAGGAAGGGAGCAGGAGGACAACCACACGTGAAGTGTGAGGGCACTGACAGCGGCTGTCGGAAGAGGGACCAGGGAATATAACTGGGGAAGGATAGGAGGGACCAGGGTACAAACAGTCCAGCGGGGGAAGGGTTTGGAGGAGGAGCTGGAATGGGGTGATGTGAACTGGACCAACGAGGGAGAAGAGAAGGAGCAGTTTTCTGAGGGACCCAATGGGGGAACTGAGAACAAAGAGCTTTCTAGAATGGGGGAGAGTACAACAGATGACTGGCATGAACTCATTTGCATGGGAGCGCAGGGATCTCTGGGAAAATGCTTTGCCCACTTAAACGACTGTGCTCTCCCAGGGCATTCCTGAGCTATTTTCCCCAGGGTGTCTCCCACAGCTCAGCATGAATACGGTGTTCAAGGACTGCCACGTGGTTTGGTGTAGGCTCACAGGGGTGCCAAGCAGCAGCTTCTGAGTGGCAATCGGGCAGTGCAAGCGGTTTTATAAACATCTTTTGGGGCTCTTAAAAAGAGCCAATTATACAAAGCAGTAGAAGCATAACACTGAGAAGTCTTCATCTCATTTACACAGACATCATGAAGTGACTTGCTTTGTTTGTGGTAGTGAAAGGAGGAGCTTTGTCTGTGCTGTCTAGACAATCAGCCAGAATTCAAGTATTCTAAAGCCACTTCGTAGCAGAATTTGTATTGATCCTGAAAAATCAAAAGAAAACCACAAAGTCAGTTATTGAACAAACTTAATTAAAGGGGTCAATATTTCTCTCCTGCTAAAATTATTTACTATCAGCTGCTGTCAGTGGGAACCAGTTTGCAAATCCAATTTTTGTTCAGATAAGAAAATCTTTATATTAACCAGACAATAAACACTATACATAGTAACTTATGGTACTGCTCACGTTAGATGAGTATTTAGCTGCTGTAATACACTTCTATGAGAAAAACTGACTGCACATAAGCAAATTGACTTGCAACCCTTCTGTCATTTGCGAAAATGCTCATGCAGCACTCAATGAGAATTGGAGTTATTGAAATTCCTCCCTGGAAATGTTTCTCTTAAAATAGACCCAGTGTTAAGTACTTCCCAGATTGCAACTTTTATTTTAATGTCATTCAGACACTTGCTGCATTTCAGGGCAAGAGTACTTACTGTTGGTCCTCTCTCTGCAGCTCAGACTCAACCCACAAGACTATGCAATAGCCTTGTGAGATGGGGCCTGAGCTAAATTAATTGGATTCATTCCAGTTAATTTTTATCAACTGCCAGTGATGCTCAAGTTAGGCTGGGTAACAGGAGAACTATAAAGAGCCTAAGTTTTCAAGTGCCAGCCCTGTGCTTCAAACACAGACCTGCTAGTTTTATTTGTAACTGCTTGGAAACAGAGCAAGTCCCAGGGAAATAAATCCCCTTCCTGAGAGGATGCAAACCCACTCTGCATCTCTGGGGACAAAAGGTCATTGGCCCCTTTCAGGTCTTCAGTGGAATGGAGAGGACAGGTTTGACTAACCTTTGTCCACTCTGGAACGTTTAAATGGTGCAGTCACTGCTGAATTCCCACTTTTATGTGCATACATACCCCTCTCCTGTTTCCATTCTTGCTACTCGCAATACTCAAAAATACTACAGATATTGAAATAAAAAAAAAAAGCTGAAAGAAATAATAAGTGCAGGTTCCCTGAATCTAAGGGCTCTTGCTTCTGAAAGTTCAAATTGGAAACAGTTGCCAGTTTTATGACTATTTCTGTTACTGAAATGCTTCTTTTGCTTATGCACTTGATTTGATTAATAAAGAATAACTAAGCACATATAGCCATTTAGGAACAACAACAGATTTAACGAGCTGACAGCACTCAGCCTTGCCCACCATCATGAGTAGTAAGACATTCAGATATATTCTCTTTTCAAAAAATTTAAAGGGTTAAATCTTTTGGCCTGTATTTGTGATTTTGGGTCACATTTTAGCTGAGAGTACACTTAAGATGCAAAAGACCATATACTATTAATAAAATCAAAAAGCTATTAACAAACGTGGATCATTTAGAAGTTCTGTTGTTGAGAAATGTCACATCATAAGAAAATAAGTCTTAGGTGCACATATAACCGAAGTGATGACTGTGTTGTATGCGGGACTTTAAACCCTCCTGCAAGGTTCCATAAACTGCTTGTCTTCTTCAGAATGAGAAAGGAGTTAAAACAAAAAAGAAGGAAAGAACAGAGTATTATGTAAATTCCTTTTCTGCTTTTACTGCATATATATTTCTAAATAAATGGAAATTGCTCTGTAACTATGTAACAGATCAAAACAAGAGATCAGCCACTCATCCATTTCCACTCTTTCGTGCTCATTTTATGCCGATTTACTGATCCAGCAGAATAACTCATTTTCAGTAAACTGAATACCTGTCTTAAAGAGCAGACATACCTTATTTTCCACTGTGTTCACTCACTAGTGTCCTTTGTACTTTTTTATTATTCATTTGATGGTGGATATTAAAAGTCTCTTTAGACTAGCTAGCTTCAGAGAGGTATATTTAAATGTATTTTCTAGGACACCTGTGGGTAGGCCCAATAACATTTCTCACCAAATGCTTCAGGCATTCCATAATAGATATTTTGCAACATCATGTGTTACGTTTGTATGATAGCTGAAAAAATTTATTAGATTTCCATACTATAGAGATGTGGCATTCAGATTTTTACACTTGGAGGAAAACCAAAGGTTTCAGTGAAATTAAGAGATGAATCTTTAAGTATGGATGGCAAAGACTGTCTTTATCTACTCAGAAAGTGCATGACATGTATTGATAAAGCAGTGTTAAACCTGCTTTTTTGTGAAACAATGTCATGATTTTGAGAATTTAATCTTTTACCATAAAATTTTACAAGTTAGATGAATATTACTGTTCTTTTTTTTCCAGCAGAGAAACTGAGGCAGACACATTAATATAAGAAGGGTCATAAAAGATAAAGTCAGTAACAAGATCAGGAAAAGAACTTAAGTGTCCCAATTCCTTTTACCAAGAAGCAATCTACATGGAAATTGAAACCTGGCTAATTCCAATATTTGTTCCTATGAGGTGGCAGACCACAACTGAAGAGATGTCATTCTAACTCTGCTCAGTCGGTGCACTATGTGATAATGGGAAAAATCCTCATTGTCCCTTGCCTTTATTCCTTGTCTCTTAAAATAAGGAAAACAATACTGATCTCCTTCACAAGTGCTTTGCAATTTCCTAATAAAAAAGGCCCTACAAAGCCTTTCTATGCCTTCCAGACATTCTCAATACCACTCTCAATTTACTAAAAGGTACATTTTAATCTAAAATATAACACATTTAGATTTTTGATTTAAAAAATTCTCTGCTGAGAAATGGAGACAACTGCCTGACAAATCTGTAACTGGAGAACTGTCACATATGGGAATTTATAGAGAGCATTTTCTTTAACTGTACTTCTACACTGGTAATTTTCTTTTTATTTCTATAAAATAAATGAATAGGAGATCAGAGAGTTCTGTGGGCTTAAGCTTTAGGAGGATGGAGAACAGCAGGCCTGCCAAATCCCTGCATAAACTATACTGCATGAATGAAGTAGAAGGACATTTTTCTTAATATCTAGGAAATAAAAATGTATGGTTCTCAGCACAATGATTCTCCTCCTGAGAATATAAACTAGAGGAAAAGAAGCCAATGAAGCTGCTCCCTCCCATTACTGTGGGAGTTTGATAGTTTCTCACTGACACAAGATTCACAGTTCCACACTGCTGGCTCATGGCCCTGTGGTGCTGTTTGTGAACTCCCTCCTTGCTTTGCACAGCTGACCTTTCTCCATGTGCCTGGCCAGAGCTGGGCCTAGGGGAGGGTTTGGGACTTCAGAGGCAGACTAGGAGAGAGCACTGTGATGGGGAATATAGTGGAAGCCACTCTCCCCAGGAGAGAGGAGCCACAGCCATCCATGTGGTGGAGAGGTGGATATCCCTCCCTACCTGTGTGTCAAAGCCTCGCTCTTTCTGCCTATTCTCCAGTGTGTGCCACACTCAGCTCATCTGAGGGGGTCCTCTCCTAAAATTACAGCTGGTTGGACCAACTCAGTGAGATGTCTCCTGCCTCACTCTGGGCATGCTAGAGAAAAGTTGCTGAAATTACTCCAATTTGTTTAACCAGATCTTGCAAAATCGGCCTGGATTGGGTTAACATCCCTGAAAGTGCCCAGATGCTGCTTCTTCCTGCCTGTGATACTAAATCAAATGCAGCTGCCTCTTAAGCAGCCACCTCTGCAGCAGGATGTTGTAAAAGTGTCTTTATAGCCCAGCCTTCAGAACAGGGCATCAAGCTACACCCATCTCCAAGTACAAAACTACACACTAGAGTGTAAGAACCTGCTGGTTTAAGCTGTTCTGCAGCTCTTCTGGCATAGCAGCTGGCACTTCAGCAGTTCTCCATTTAGGAAAAAAGCTCATAAAACACTCTCTAGGAAAATAATTGCACATGGCCCCTTGTTTCTGAACTTCTTTAATCTTTCTATGAGATAGAGCAACCATAATTAAATGCAATATTCTGGATGTCAAACTGAAATTCATGGCTTTGATAAATATTAGGCGATTAAGCTATTTATAAAATATATAATTTGAAAATCTGGCATTTAATTTTACATAACTATTATTTCTACCATGCAAGGGCTGCTCTCCACTTGGTTCAGCATGCTAGAAAAGAAAATTAATAAGGATGTTCATCTGAAAGTTTAAAACTCTTAAAAAATTCAAATGAACAGAGACAAAGTCTCCTTGGGAAGAAAGCAATGTAAAAATACTGTTACAAGTGAAGTGACTTCATTATCCCCTTTGAAAATGACTTGCTTGCTTTGTGAACAACTCCCACTGCAAATCCTGGAAATCTTACCGACTCTTCTGAGAAAAAGAACATTTTCTATTTAATGGTGGAGTTAAAAAGCTCATACCAGAAGGTCCACCATGTTAGGCTTATTATTCCTCAGTGTCTTCACAGCATGGAATACGTCAACAGCCTTCTGATGTCGAAGCATTTCACAAACAATACTGATTGCACAAAATGTCCCACTGCGGCCACCTCCATTCCTGCAGTGAAAGTGATAAAATGGCTCAGTTACAATGGACTCTGTGTCACAAGTTTGTACAGCAACAGGGATGGCTCCAGAAGGCATGAGTTTCAGCAGGGAGAAACCACAGAACATTCCTGCCCCAAAGGCTGCTGAATTCTAGGCAAAACATGATTTTTAATTGGAATTGGCATGCTGAAATATCTCAAAGCTGATTCAGAAGTCAGCAGGCTGAAAGCCTGGAGGGAATTGAATGGCTGAGTTTTGCACCACCCTTCAGTGAACACTGGAGACAGAACAAAAAGGATGCTAAAATAAGGATAAAGTACTTTTAGTTTCCATTTAACACTGCTTTGCATTGTAAACACACATGGCTGCAATGAATATCAGGGCTGGAAATGCCACAGAGAAAGCAAATCTTTCAGTTCTTTTATTCCAGATTCTGGTGCTTTCCTCCTGGACACAAAGGCATTTCGGAGGAACTGCAAAAGCACCAGAAGTCTCATTTGGGGGAGTCCTGGTGGCTGCACTTGGTATGGCATTGGGTGGTGCTGCCATGTCCCTCTGGCTGATTATCTCAGCTCCTGGCAGCAGGAAGGCTGCCTGGCAAGGACTGTTTCTAAAGGCAGATGTATTCCCCCTCCACCCACAGTTATCAGAGGTTGAGAACCTGAAGCGAATTGCTAACAAAGTAGCCAGGCACAAATGTTCATATATGTGATCAAATACAGCATTTAATAATACTTTATCCCTGGTTATTTTAATCTTCAAGAGAATCTCTTTCTTTCTGGAAACCTGATTATTTCAACATTTATTCTAATCAGAATCTTTAGGCTGTGCTTCACTGAAAATAATAAACCTTAATAATTACCAGAGTGCAGACTAGTTAGGTAGCAGGTCTTTCAAACAAGCTTTGCAAATGGTTGATTTTCAAAGGAAGATACAACGTTGCACATCTGTCACATCCAGGCACTATGAAAAGAATGCTCTCTGCTGCCAAAACAGCGCCTGATATTGTGGGACTGTTTGAGAATTTTAATTAAAATAAAGTCATTTAAAAGGATTATATTAGAGCTTTTTCTTTCTTTACTGCCTGGAAGTGACGCATGTGTGATGTTGTACAACTATTTAATATCATCAGCCACCTCAGAGATAACAGTAATTTGCACTTCAAAAGGGTCTTTTCAGCTAAAGATCTCAAAACATTAATTAATCACACTGCACAATACTTCTTTGATGAAAGTATTATTATCCCCATACTACAGATGGGGAAACTGAAGAGCAATGACTTGTTCAAGGTCAGTGATAGTAGGAATTACTAATATACTCTTAGATTTTCCTCCATCATTCTGACACAGGATGCCAACCTTTGAACATGGTTTTCCTGTTAGCAGGTCCCTTCTCTATCATGGCAACATCTTTAAACAGATGTTTAGAGGAAGACAAATACAACTTCAACTGCTGAAGACTCACCCTCAAAAGATCAGCTACTTCTGAGGGCAAAAGCACGTACAGGTATTAAACTTGTATCAAAAGAATGATGGTGGCAGAGTGGATGAGAGTCTGCATTAGTGGAGCACAAAGTCACAGGAGGACAAAAATATATAACATTATTACAGAAAAGTAAGGCAATTACAGGATCATTGTAACTGGTCTACCACACCACTTTTACTCCTGTGCTTTATGCCTGGAAAATGAATCACCCCTCCAAAACGACTTATTTCTGTGGTCCTTATCTGCAGAAATAAAAGGTACATTGTTCTAAAGGCACATTTTTGATTTACTGCGAATAAGTATGCAACATTCCCATTTGCAAGACTCACAGACATTTTTATATAAAATAGAGTTATTTCGAATCCATCATCTTTTCATAGGGCTCTAACAAAGGACAGATGGGGAAACTCATGAATCTACATTAAAATTACACAATTCCTCTTGCATTTGAAGCTTTTAAATGAGCAGTTGTATTATTAATTCAGTTCCAGATTAGATAGATGCCTCCTCACCTCGTTACAAATCTTTAAAAGCCTGGCACAAATTCGGTGACAGTATTCCCTTATTCCTCTCTTCCGTTTCCAGTACTTACAAGCAATGTACGACTGTGCGTCCCTCTCCCCCGTTGTATTCCTCCTGCCACTTGTCCACCTGACGGATGAGCTTCAAGAAGGAGCGTTTAGAAACCGGAGTGTCCCTGTACATGGGCCATCCCAGGAACTGGAACTGCTGCACCATCCGATAGCCGTCCTGGGGCTGCAGAGATCCGGGCAAAAGCAGGAAAAGTAACAGTATTTTATTGGCATGTAATTTAGGTATTTGCATCAGTAAGGGAAGTTGTTCAAGCAGATGATTGCTGACAAACTGCTAATGTAATTTCAACTGCCCTTGAGGATTTATGACTTTTAATTTCCAATTGAGTTATTAAAACGAGTTTTAAAACAGATTGCTATACAATAGACTAAAACATAGCAACAGTACATCTGTAAAATCAAGCAAATAATTAATTAATAAGATAGGAGGAACTTGGTAGGAAAGACAGAGCTGTAACATAACTTCAATTATATACTGTTTTCATATATAAGCTTCACTGTTTTTAAGAACGTTTATGTATTTCTGTCTTTTTTTACAAGAAAGGTCAAACTCTTTCAAGATATTTTGAAGCAGGAAACATTAAAAAAACCAAATAGAATCCTCAGATGTTTGTGGCTTATAAAAAATATTGTGTTCTACTGCAGCAGTCAGAGCCCCTCTGGTGAAACACTACTGAACAGTTGCTTTATGGTGATTTAAAATAAAAAAGGAGCACAGAACAAGTGATAGTGGCAGAAAAGTACAGTCCTTTGAAAAGGGCATAATAAACATGCACATGAAAACTGGTTTTGTAGTCTAGAGTTTGCCACTTTTGTGCAAAGTAAGGGCATTTTAGTGCCACTCCTAAAATGAACAACACACAGAAACATTGACATTGTATTTTATTCTGCAGAGTAAGAGTTAACAGAGAGGATGTAAGATGATATAGGAATAAACAAAACTGGATGCAGCATTAGGATGTGCTCTCCAATTGGTTTTGTGTGCTTTATGTCACAGTCTGGAATCTACTGATTTCCTGTGCAGTTTCTTTCAGCTTTTCCCGAAGCAGATCAGCCAGACCCAATGCTTGCTGAAGGTCACAGCCTGCTGGAGGCTGTGTTTTTTATACTGCCACATTTACTGCAAATGCCAGGCCTTCATAGTATTAAAAAAGTATTTGAAGTTTTAAAATCTGCTTCCTGTTTGGATATTAACATGTTTTTGGTGTCTCTCCCTGTCCAGTGAGCTACCAGGTCTCAGGGAAGTTCTTGATTTTTTTTTTCTGAAGGGATTGCTGCTTATTCCTAACTGCAGTTTTTTGGTGGTTGATACAAGTCCATTGCAAAGTCTCCCTGAATGGGAACAGATACTTGGTCTGTGGTGGAATCTTTTTTCCACTCAGCTTGAAAGACATGCCTTGTTTAGTCTTCTGTCAACTTTATGGGAGCATAAAAGCTGGATACAAGAACAATCTGCTTGCCCTTCTGAAGTAGTTACATATGTTATGAAGTGTGGTTAGCGAGAGAGGATCTTCACTAAGAGGCTGAGATTGCTATTGAAAAACATAACTAGTATTGGTGCACAGCTTTCTTCACATAACACAGGATACAAATACACAAGATGGCTAATTTCAGACTATTGAAAACAGCACTGATTTCAGCATTTTTTGGCTATCATACAATCTGAATGCCACATTTATTTCATTTGCATTTAACAAACTTGAGATATGTATTAAATTTTTTTAACTTATATTATACATAGAAGGCTTTTTTCCCCTCTGTGATTGTGCTGTGACTCAGTATTGTGCCATTGCTTTCAAATAAATACGCTGAAAAATGAAAATGGTTCTATGTGAGTTTAGCTTTCATTTCTACAATTTGAGTAGACTCAACTCATCTACTGAGACAAAATTGTTTTGCAAATAAGATCCTTACTCTGGCTGCATTATAAATTCGGAATATCCGGCTGATGATGTCTTCTTCTAAGTCAGCCGATACAAACTCCACCTGAATAGGACCATGCCGATGGACTCCATTTTCTGGCCAGTACTGAGGACAGAGCTATAGCAGACCATGGACAAAAAAGAACACAGTTAATCACCTTGGATTTCATGCTGCCTCACCATACTTTTCTGTATTTTAATTTGTCATACATGCACTAGTGGAATTCTTGCACAGTATCTTTATAAAATACATGACGCACCAAGTTCGGTTTTGTGTACTCTGCTTTCATAATGCTTTTTCATGTACCTAACATGCTGTTCCTTGCTGCTGTACTTTCAGTGTCTAGTGTTTGGAGTAAAACACTTCTGACACTCAATGTTAGCTCTACAATACATTTTCATGAGACAGGGAGAGGCTGACAAATATTGCTGAATTCTTGGAGGCAGTGGAGGCTAAAAACCAAAGGCCTGAATAGTTGCTAATAATTCAAACTGCATATAATTTATACTAGGAAAGGTACATAAATTCTCAAAACTCAGGATTAACTTTCACATGTTTCACCTGATGACCGATGATATTGGCGAATATTAGCATTGCTTTAAACTTACAATTGCTTAATTTCATCTTATTAGCAACACCTGAAAATATTAATTATGCTTTCTTCAGTTCTCAGAAAAAAATTACTTCTAGGTATCTAAAGATCACAAAGTAAAATTACTATTATCTTGCATGGTTTTAGTGTCTAATAATATAACAATGGCTTAACCAGGGAGCAATTACCATCTGTGTTAATACTTTAAACATTTAATCAACACTTTGCAAGAAGGTTTTTGAAGCTAGAATCTGCCTGTCCATTTTTTTTTTTTTCATGAAAATCCTAAAGATTTTATTTTTATTTTTTTTTTGCCAGGGATATTTAGAGGAGTTTGAGCATGTAGCTTTTGTAAGCATTCACCAAAATTAAATATGAACTCATGAAATTTTGTTTGCTTGCAGAATCATTGATGTCATATTTGGAACTTTTTATTTCAATCAGTAAAACAGCTGTGGTCTTCATTCTGCTGCATTGCTGTTGGTGATACAGAGCTGAGCTGACAAATCACATTTACTCCAGATGTTGTTTTGCATTTCTTACAATACTTAGTCCTCAACAAAGCTGTTTAGAGATGACTACATTTTAGGAAAACATAATCATTTACTACACCAATTAAAAAAGAAAACTGGGTCTGATTTGCTTGAGATCACTTTAACAAGTTAAACCCAGAAATTTTTAGCAGGAAAATATATTTTCATTTTTTTAAACCCTCCCTATGATGTGGTCTGCTGAGACAACTGCTTTCCAAATATTGTCTAAATCTTACATAATTTTTTATTATGAAATATGCTGGTGTACAGGACAGCAAAATGCAATGCATAAAACTGTTGCAAATGCCAGCGCTCAGAACATTTAACATGTGCACAGTTTAGTACACATATACACAGGAATACAGTTCTAACAGATCTCTGAAAAATGCTTAAATGATAATAAGCAGAGCTGTTTGCTGGGGTTTTAGGAAGCTATGATTTTCAAGTTCTAAAGAAACCAAAAGCATTTAAGTCTGCACATTTTGCATGCAAGTGATGCTAGCAACTCTCTCCAAGTCAGAGCCACTGTGAAGGGTTGAATTTCATTTCCCAATAGAGTACAACAATCCACATAAATGGTAATATCTAAACAGAACTGTAAACACTTCATATACACATAAATAATAATCATAACAGTAATTATTAATAAATCTGAATGTAATATGTGTTTTTAATAAGCTTTGCCCTCTCTCCACTTCTGTTTGCTCTGAGGGTTTTGAGATTTATTCCTAATGAAAAGATTGTTACTTGCATTAAGAGGTAAAAGGTTTAACATACTGCAGAGGCAGGTGCATTAACTGCATATCCCAATAGCTTTTAAATCCTGTGAGGCTAACACATGCTTGGAATAGCCATGCCCTATTGTAAATTCAAAACACAGCCAACAAATTAAAAAAACACTCTGTTCAGCAATCCCTAACAGTCTGTCTCCCTTGAGTCTTTCCTTATTCACTCAGAAAATAATCTTAGATTCATGAATAAAAGTTTTGTCTTTCATTTCTATTTTTCCTCCTGGTAGACAGTGCAGGGCTTAGAATCAGAAATTCAGTCTTTAAAACAGTGTGTGGAATTCCTACATGTTTCTTTGAAAGGCCAGAAGGAAGATCAGTGTCTCTTAAAAACAAATTCTACATGTTAAATAGAAGAGGAAACATTTTTTTAAGTATATGCAATACCAAACAAAGCTAAAAAGATTCTTGATCATTAAATGACCTGCAGTCTGCTCTAAAAAATTAGAATTGCTCTTAACCAATAATTAACAAATATTTACATATTAAGAACCCAGATTACCACCACATTATTCCAGCAGAGGACTGGTGCAGTTTGTTGGAACTAAGGAAATTATATCTTTGTAAGAACTTGGAATTGTGCAGTTGTGAGCCAGGCTCTGGGACACTTAGTGATTAATCCTAGTGATTAAATTGCCAACCAGTAGGTTCGGTTTTCCAATTTTCTGAACAACATGTACAGCATGCGCAACACTTTTGTTAGGTAATTACCTTCTCCTACACGTTTTGTTGCCCTCTTTTCTCTTCCAAAGGATGCTTAGTCTCCAATCTTTAGCTCCTCTCTCTTAGTTTAGTTCCTATCTCCTTGCTAATGACATAATTTCTGTGCAACACACAACACAGATTTTCACACTGGGAACACCTATTCCCTGGTAAGGAGACTAAGGTGATTGACCTGTTTCAGGCAGGCTTAGGAATAGCTGTTGGCTTCTGTTTATTATTTTGGCCACTAGAGCATGTTTCAGACTTGAGTCAGAATTCTACGACCATAATTTTTGGGTTTTAGCAGCCCTTTCCAAAACATGTTCTCTTAGAATAAATTACAGGTGCATGCACTCAGGTGTGTGCACACTAACATTTTGGAGGAGAAGCTGCCTGTCTGATTTATTCCTCTTCCCCTACGAGTATCTGCAAGCTACAAATCAATATTTTAGTGTGTAAGTATTTAGTGTTGTTTTTCCAAAACTAATTACATCCTAAAGGTGTTCTGAAATGCTGAGGCACCAGCATTCCTCTTTTAAATTACACATTTTTCTGGACTTACTTGTGCAGGATCCACATCATTCAACATAACTACTGAAGTGCAGTGATAATCTAGGACCAGCCTCCAGAAATCTTTGACAGTATTTGGTAAGGGATGCTGTGTAACTATAAAAGCTGATGGTTGCTTGTAGCTCTGCAAAGAAGTAACAAGATGATGAGAAGAATGGCAAGAGAGAAAAATCCATTTAGCAGAATGTCAGTCATAGCCCCAAAACTTCAGGACTGAAGGCATTATTTCTATTTTCTGTATAATTAATATATTGTTTTCAGCTCTTTCCTGAGATCTTATATGCTTCAAAGTTAATAAACTGTATTTGGGCAGGATATCACTTCTGCAAATGTTATATTTCTAAAATGTATTTCATGCCACAGGCATAGAGTAAACTCATCAGAGGCTTTTGCTTCCAATGTAACTCCTACAAGATTCTGAGCAACGGGTTTGTTTTGAGCTGTTAATGGACAGATTAATCTTGACTGTTTGCATTTAGCTCTAAATTTGAATGATGCCTGTGAAAGGAAATATCTAGTTATTCTTCAGAAATATTGTTGAAATTCTGGTCTATCTGACAGCAGCGAAGATACCCAGCGGATAAATTTCAGTGCTCTTTGTTTCTTTTAGTACCAGAGTATGTCATTGACTGAGCTGTTTGCTGGAACTTTTCCACTGTGGATTTCAAAACAGCATTTTCACTTACATCCTTTGAGTGATGAAAGCTATCGTGGCCCTACTGGGGCAGTTGTTGGGAGGGGGTGCCACTGCCTTCATTAAGGAGGGTGGAAGTCTCTGCAAGCCTCAAACTGTAGCATTTGCACCACAACAGAGATCCAATCAGATCTGCAGGCAAATGGTTGGATTCCTGGGGCTGTCCTGTGCAGGGCCAGGAGTTGGACTTTGACTAGGCACGTGCCAAGAGGATGGTGCCAGACTCTTTTTGGTGGCGCCCAGTGAAAGGACAAGGAGCAATGGCCATAAGCTAAACCACAAGAAGTTCCAACCTCAAGGTGAGGAGGAATTTCTCTATACTGAGGGTGGCAGAGCACTGTAACAGGCTGCCTAGGGAAGTCATGGAGTCTCCCTCTCTGGAGACATTCAACACCCACCTGGACACATGTCACCTGCTTAGGGGTGACCCTGCTTGGGGGTCAGACCACATGATCTCCAGAGATCTCTTACAACCCTAGCAATTATGGGATTTGGTGATCCTTGTGGTCCCTTCCAACTCAGGATATTCTATAATTCTATGATCGTTCTTTTAACAGACAGACACTGAGGAAACCACAGAAAATTATTCCACTGTGTTTTGGGTACAGATGCAGACATGCAAAATTTTGGTTCTTTGTTTCAGCACATGGCAACCAGCAGATACTGATGCTGCTCTTACATTAGGCAGCTGTTTTCTATCCTACAGGTCCTGCCTTGCTGGAAGTTTCATGCAGGTGAGAGACGTCCAAAGGGGTCTCCATTAATCACTCAATTAGAAGCCTCAGCAGTTCTTATGGGAAAACTATTCTCAAACTCATTCTGATACTGAATAATGAAAACTATGCTGGCTATCCCTTTTTCTTGAAGTGATTCAAGTGCGGTGATTCAACAACACTTCAATGGATTCAAGAGGAGAGGGGGAAACACTTAATCTTGCTTGCTGGAGATTGAGTTTTTAGAGACATGGACAAATGTCTGCTCTTGTCCATCAGTGCAGGGATGCTGCAGAAGCATACTTCAGATGGAAAGCAACCCAAATCATGTCCTCCCTTATAGCCTTTTGCCCAGACACAGGTCTGTATGTAGCCCATCATTTCAATAGTGAAGAAGGGAAGCATCTTATTAAGGCCCTGCTCTTTCTAGGCATTAGTTAATTCACAGAACAAAACAGTACTGAAGTCTCCAGGAAAGAAGACAATGTAATGGCACAGTCACAGACCACAGATTAAGGCAGTTCTGTTCTAATATGAAATGTCATTGACCTACCGTGAGAATCTAGACAAGTCAATTACACTTCTGTTCTCAGTTTTTCTACATAGATAAACACAAAGACAAATTTTCCTCCATTTTCACGGGAGTGTTTTGAACTTCAGCTTATTTTAGGAAAAAGCTTTGAGAACTTGGAAGGAAAGAAATGAAAAAACTGCAATAAACTGTTATTACTCTAGCTGCACTTTTTAAAAAGGCCATTTACAATGTGTTCCTTACTAACCTCTGTTTTCTTGTTGTTTATGTGTTTGACAACCGTAATGACTATAGCTGTAAATTGTCAAAAATAGGCTATAAATATCTACAGACTGTAAATGCAGTTTAAGTGACTTTTTACTGTTACTCCATTACAACGATTACAATTGCCATAGATGCATTTGGGAAAAAACTCCACACACACATGAAGAGGAACCATTCATTCAAACAGAAATAAACAGGAAGGCTGAAGTAATGGCTTGTGTACTATCTTGTGTTGACAGACAATTATTTTTTTTGTTAATTACCATTTAAATTATAAACAGAGGGAACTGAAATATTGCTGCAAACCTTATTATTCTATTTAACTGCCTGTATCTCTTAATAGGTAACTCTTGTTTTCCTAGGCCAGATGGTTAAAAATTCAAGCACTAGGGAGAAATCCAGACACATTTAATTTATCAAAACTCCCTGAATTGCTCTCTGAGCATGGCTTTGGAACCTTGGCTGTGACATAACATATGTGTGATCCTAAATGTACTTGGAAGTTTAAAGATTTTATGCCGTGCTTCTGGGAAACAAAACAAGCTAGAAGGTTTTCCTTCTTATGCTGACTCCATTTTCTAGCACGGCTCAGTTTGGAGGGCTGCTTATTGCCTTTTTATTATTAATGATGTGGTGGAGACTTACATCCATCAGTGCAGCATTGATGTAGTTACTGCTTTCCCCATCTATCGTGATGAGGAAAGGCAGGCATCTGTCTGGAGGCAGCACATCCATACAGCGATTCTTTTCGTGGTTTCGTGGCAAAAGAGCGATGCTGCAATCTTCAACACGCAGTGTTGGAGTCACCATATTTAAAGTCTTTCAGAGAGAGTAAACAATGCAACAGAAAAATTAACACAGCAGTGAAAGCAACCCAAAATATTTAAGAATAGATCAGCTCAGCATTCAGCTTCAGTGGGAATCAATATGCAGAGAAATGAAAACACATCACAGTCAGCAGGGTTTGGAAGCAGAGAAATCCTGGAAGCATACTATTATGAAAAATAACCTCAAAGACAGCTGCAGAGTAGCCTGCCTTCTGGAGAAAGGACAGTGGAAGCACTGAAATACTTCCCTTGAGTAAGAAGAATATTTTACTACTATCCCACTGCATTATTTTATGATTCAGCATAACTATTTTCCCTTTTTTGCCGTCTTGCCCTTCTAGACCTGTTACAAAATTCATATGGCTATAAAAACTTAAACAGAAGTCTTTACTATAGTTGAACTCTACAGTTTCTAAGCAATGTAAGCCACTACTTACCCTAAATTCCTCTTTGATCTGGCTCGAGTTTGTTTGAGGATCTAGTTTATTCATTTCATAGTAAGCAGACCTAACTTGAGAAGCTGGAATAGATGTGTCCCCGCAAAGACAGGCTTCCAGGATAGCATCATGGATGAATACATATTGTTCCTGGTTAAGCAATTAAAATAGATAGTTACTGACATGAACTGCATGGGCCATTAGTATTTTGGTAAATAAAACATAACAACTAATATGGTTGCTACTTCACTATTCAGATTACCAGCACTGAATCAAGACCAGAAGCAACAAGCACAGTTTATCAAACTTTATCCCACTCATTCAGAAATGAATATAGAAAGTTCGGCTTAAACTAACTACAAGTAGTTAGAGAAGTGCAGTAACACTCTGTAACAAAACTCAGAATGTTTCTGGTTTCCTCATTCCTCTGGGTGGTTTTGTAGGTGCTAACATGAAACTAAGCCTCAACAAGATGTACTCCAGAATGAATCCTTCCCAGAGAAGAAACATTCCTGATTTTCCTTATTTTTTCCTTATATTTTAAGAAATAAGGAAACTTTCAGTGAACCTTCATTGAAGCATAACTGTGCGCTTGTTTGGGGAGGGGCTCTTCAGGTTTGTGCGGAGATTATTTTCTTCATGTGACTGAGTAAACAACTTTCTGGAGGGTGCCAACTACAAAGCTCTATCTTTATGGGCCAGAAGAGTCTTTTTTCTTGCAAAGCTGTATTCCAGTAGAGGAGCAATACCTCAGTCTGCACCATGTTAACTCTCCGGGATCGAAGCTCTCTCACGCAATTATAGATGTCTACAACGCCTTCTCGTTCTGCCATATCTAGCATGATGTCGATGACAATGAAGCATCCAGTTCTTCCAGCACCAGCACTGAAGTAGAAGAAGAGCACAGTTAATGTGAAGCAGTTTATTAGAAATGTAAAAGGTGTAAGGATTCATCTCAGAGGTGCTTGATCAATTGGATAATTACTGAAATTGAGCTGGGCATTTGCAGGACTTCAGACTCAACATTTTTACTCTCATTTACATATTGTATATATGTTTATTATATATACAATATATATATTCTTGTTTACAGTTAATTTTTGAGTACACCTCCAGTGGCTTCAGCAACCTGTGTAGGGAATACACAGTAAAGGAGAACCAAAAATAGGTCTTGAGTTTAATGCAAACCACAACCAAGAGATTTCAGTTTTACCTACCTGCAGTGAACAACCAGAGGCCCAGCATTTGGTGGACTCTTGGATTTGACCTGTCGTACAAAGCCCAGCAGGCCCGTGGCATGGTATGGGACACCATGGTCTGGCCAGCCCGTGAAGTGGAACTGGCGTATTTCCCGAATCTCATGAGCACCTCTCTGTTGGAAAGACAAGGGTTGAAATCTTCAAAAGCCTGAGTCTTGCTGAAGAGCATCCCCTACCAACACAATCTGTACAGATTGCTGTAGAGCTTCCTCATAGAAGGAGAGCAAGCTCACAGGTCAGGTATTAACTGGTTTCAAAGCCTTCCAACAAAATTAAGTAAGCAAGCACTAGATTGGTCAGAAACTTTTAGCAACGAGAGAAATGCTCATCTCTACATTTAAGTACTAGGCTGCTTTGCAAACTGTGGCCTTAAGATGCATGCCATGGTCGCAGAACAGGTCAGCAAGGCTGAACACAGAGCACAGATGACTTTTTTATTCCCACTGCCCTCCACAGGGGTTTTGCTGCTGACTGCAGGGCACTACAGCTTCAGCATAATTTTCCTTATCATTTGTCTCCTTCACTGGTCTGAAAGAAAAAGCTGAATAATAGGAAATCTTTCTGCACCTTCAATCATAGGGGTTGTGTTTGTAGCCCTCCACATGCTCACCCTTCAGGTGATTTGCCACAGTCTACAAGGACATGGATATAGTGAGACAGGTATGAATGAGAAGCTGATTGTGTAAGTAATTTCCCATGTGACTTTGGGGAGCAGTCTGGATATTAGAAGTGTGTATGTTAAGTTTTATTTTCTTGCAGCTTGTATTTTCCCTTCCCCCTCTAAAAATATAGCTTTCCAGTATTTTATTCTTATTAGAAATCCACAGACTGGAGGCCATCATACACAGTTCATAAGCAAACAGCAAAATTATGGCACATCATGTCTATGCGGGACTAAATGTCAACAATATTAGTAACTGCTAGTTTACAGTTTTTCTTCTTAAAGATGTATTTCCTGTCTTGAGATGGTTTTCATATAAAAGATTTTATTCTCTTTGAATAAGTAATATAAGCTTCCCAATTTACCACTATTATGCATTAGTCTGGGATTTTCAGTGGTGGAGAATTTTGGACATGCCAGTGCTACAGGACTATAGAGGACTTAGTGTATGTTGGAGTCTTTGATGCTCTGGAGACAGGGTATCTGCTCACAGGAATATCTCATCTCCCCTGGAAATTGACACAAAAAGGCAGGCAAGGGAGAGGATTAAGAGCATGTGAGGCAATGGTGTGGACAGAGGAGATCACACCCTTGAAACAGAAATGACCTAATATCTTAAAAACCAATTTTAAAACATAATGAAATCCAGGAATAGACAAAACAATCTGCATTTTAAGACAGTCTAGCAATCACATTTGAATACCATTTGGTCCCTGCTCTCCAGGGATTTTAGAGTGTGTAAGTTAACACATCTCTGCTACTGTAAGCAAGGCCTTCAACTCTGTAAATAGCCCTGCTTATGTGAAGGTAGTGCCTTAAACACTTTTATATTACTTGTAACGTGATCCCCAAAGAAACAAAGATGCCATAGAAAAAAAAACAGTGCCATGACTATACAAGTTGAGGACTGGCTACTACACAGATCAGGTTACGTCCTGTACATCCTCTGCCTTAGTTGTGAAAAGGCTGTCTGTCAGGCTGACTGCATTTTTGTCTGTCATTGTTAACAGCTCCTTAGGAAAGGTTTTGCATATAGGATACTTTTATAATGAGTTTTCTTAATATATATACCTAGGAGTGATTTTTATCTCTAGCTTTCCTGTTGGTTTCTAAACCCAAAATAGCACACAACTGCATGAATCATAAAAGCATGTGCTCATCTGGGAAAGACTATACAGCTGAAACAAACAGAAAATGGTGTACAGTGCTAAACCCTAGGATGTTAAAGAATTCTACAAAAACTTATGCTGCTGCTGTATGTTACTATTCATGCATGACTTATTCATCTGAGTTAACTGTCGTGCTGTAAAGAAACGGCTCCAAAGGAACTGCTTATTCACACAATGCAAAGCATATCTAGGAAACAGTCTTCCAAAATCAGACTGCACTTTTGGCTTCAATTTTCTCAGCATTATCCCCCTATTACTCAACACCCATTAAAAAAAATAAACCAAAAAAACAAACCAAGACTGAAGTAAGTGATCAATTTATCTTCAAGCAAATCAACTTCTAAATTGTACTTTATGGGCAGGTATGAGATGTTCATCAACAAACAGAAAGGACAGTCAGAAAGGACTAGAGGTCTTGGAGAATTTGATTCCTCTGATTTTTTGAACATCTATTAGGTACCTACAGGCTGCAATTAGATCCTCCTTACCCATCCTTCTCACCTCTACCACAATGGACAAGGCCACTTCTCTTAACTCCACCCTTGCAGTTCATATGTGCTAAATCTTTAATGATTCTGGACTTCAGATGCTGACCCCAGAAGTTGCACTGTACTGACACAGGGGGTTAGGCCTCTGCAAATTTTTCCTCTTGAATTACTGTAGTTCCTGTTGCTGAAATCTGCAAGTCCTTTGGAATGGAGGCTCCAGTGTTAAGTGTTACAATACCACCTTTCAATCAGTATTATCTGCATGTTTGCTTAGGGTGCTCTCTGTCTCATCATGCACCTTGACTTAGGGACAGTGAAAAGTACCAATCTCAGTACATCAAAAATTTAAATTTGAGAGAATTATGGTGAAAGAGATGTACATACTTGATGTTCCAGTACCATTGGAGGAGTTAAAAAATATGGAAAATAGAGTAAAAACAAATGTACTTTACTCAAACTACAGTGACACTGCTTTTAGGGGCTTACTGAAAAACGACCAACTATTAAAAAGCAGTGTCTAAATGAAATCTTTTCAGATGGAGAATTTTAAAAAGAAATAAAATGTTTAGTGCCTTTTATCTCTATCTGTTCTAATGCACTTATTCAAGACAGTTTGGTTATGTTCAACTGTAAAATCCTCTAGGTCTTTTCTTCAGTCCCAGTTAAGAAGCAAAAAGCTAACATCAAAGCATGAGCTTAAAATTTGCAGAATAGAAATCAACCAGTGCTTCAACTACTTCAAAGTGCAGCCAACATTTCTCATCTATTTATTAAAAATACCTAAATGCAAGGCAATAACAGGCTTGAGTGAATTCAGTCTACAATATGTATAGTGGTAAACATGATACAATATTTCAATTCATTCAAACCACGTAATTCTATTATCATTACCCTCAGGTTGCTGTATTGATGCATACTTAAGTATTAGATTGAAGAATAAAACAGGAAAAAATCCCTAATTCCTTTGTTACTCTGGACGTGAGTACAGAGACCCTGTGGGGCAGTCTTTTTGGCAGTTTCAGGTACCTGGGTGCAGGATTCTTTGTTGCTAAATATTATGTTCTTCAAACCCATAAATGAATACTAATTCATCATTAGAGAGAACAAATAAATCATGGGTACTGCAACTAAATCAAAAGTAGCATTCTAAGCTAACTAGTTGAAAATCTACTCATGGTGATGGAGCATTACTTTGGTGTGCCATTAGGAACGTCTAGTCTTATCAAGGAGGCCTTTTCCTTGGTGTTCTGCAACTCAGGTTCTGATACATACAAGTAAAACATTTCTGTTCTTTAATGAATTCTGAATGAAACTGCTGAGTTTACACAAGATGCGTGGTACGCTTCACCGTTGACTGACCCTGCATGTTCTCACTTTCAGTGAGTATCTTATTTTTTATTTCTATGTTTTCCATATATTGCAGCTGGGGAACTGCAAGATCTACAGTCTACAAGGCATCAAACAAATGCATGGCATTCCTCTAACAAACTAATACAACACACTGACTGGAACTCTCCAAGTAAGGATGGATTCCAGGTGAAAAGAGGAATTGCCTTGAGAAGAACAGCAATTTGTTACAACTCTGTCTCTGCAACCAGGCACACCCTGGCCCAACAGAAAATCGTATTCTCTACCACAGACTTCTGAATAATGCTGCATGCAGCCTCTGGTACAGACAGAAAATGATATTGGGGAACATAATATGGTAAAGCAGCACAAATGTGTTTTTCAATTGATTGCTGGGAGGGAGGCTTCGATTTCTCCTAGGCAAGGAACATCACTTTTTCTAACTCAGGCAGGGGCCAACAGTGATGAAAAGCACAGAACAGTTGCTGAATTTGAAGAAGAAAAACACAGATTACCATAAGAGGGCGGTAGTTGTTTACCCAAAAATACCTACAAACTCAGGATGTCAGTCAAAAGATTTAACTTTCCCTTGCTGAATCTGTATGTAAGTTACTTTGGCAGATACCAATGTATTTAAAAAAACTGAATTTGGAAACTTACCTTTTCTACAGCAAATGTTCGAATCACATATTCAGCCAGCAGCTCCGTTTCTATTAGTGTAACTTTAATGTCTTTATATATCTCTGTGTCATCTGGCCAGTATTTGCAGCATTTGACCTTTAAAAGATACAAAAGAAATTATGGTTCATTTATTTTAGAAGGTTCATACAGAATCCATTTTGCATTCTGTGCAATGATTTCTGATTTAAAGTGCAATCATGCACAGAACAATCACATTTTCTGCACCTGTAAATGTTTGAGGGACATTGCCTCTTTTCTTTCTAAGACAGCTTTCAGAGTTTCACATAAACTTTGTGTTGTGCTTAGTGAAGTAAAGCAAATTTGTTTGGAGCACAAAGGGTATTTATGCCCTGCACCGTTCTGTTCTGGTAACTGTTCATTTCCTGTGCTTTCCAAAGCATGGTGTGCCCAGAAGGACAAATACCACCAGAAGATTTTTCCCCAAGCTCCACTTGTTGATTTGTCTCAAAAATACTTTTCTACCTTCTAAAACATAAGTGTTTTGCAGACAGGAAGGAGATCTCATGGCAGTTCACAGCTTTCTGAGGAGGAGAAGAGGAGGGACAGCCACTGATCTCTTCTCTGTGCTGACCAGTCAGGGACTAAGGGAATGACCTGCATCTGTGTCAGGGGATCTTTGGGTTGGGTATCTGGAAAAGGTTCTTCCCCCAGAGGGTGTCTGGGCACTGGAACAGGCTCCCCCCCAGGGAAATAGTCACAGCACCAGCCTGACAGAGTTCAAAAAGCATTTGGACAGTGCTTTCAGGCACATGGTGTGACTCCTCAGGATGTTGCTGTGCAGGGCCAGGAGCTGGACTTTGATGATCCTTGGGGATTCCTTCTAACTTAAGATATTTATTGTATGATTCTCTATTTTTAGAAAACCACCTGTTTTCTCAGATTAACTTTCCAAAGGAACTGATGAGAGGTCAAATAGCAAAATTCAGTGCATGAAGTCAAGAGCTGAGTTTTATGCCCAGGCTTTAACTATTATAACTCTACATGGCTTAACTACTAATTCATGGGATAACTCTAAGCATTATGGGTAGGACTCATCTCACTTAGCTCAAGTTAAACTGCTGTTTTTTAAAAGTGGGTGTTTTGAGGACTGTATATGATGATGTAGATAGCTGACAGACTCAAGAATTTTCTCCTCCTTCCCATTTGTGTGGACAAAGTGGTGGGCTGGGAAGCTAACACATTACTTACATCTCTGTTTTACTCTGCTTTATCATGGTAATAGCTATGTTATCACCACTGCATCTGGCCATCATCCAGTAGTGCAGTATGTGCTAGGAGTGGCATCTGTTATACATCTGCTGCATGGAACAGTTTCTCTCTTTATCTCACCAAAGGGAAAATTTAAAATTATCTTTTAATACATGTAAATCTAGTTTACCTAAATATGCACTTAAATGAGTCAGGTACAAAAACCTGAGCACTTTAAATATCCAATGGAAAACTGATTAAAAAAATAAACTTCATAACTGATAAGAGTATTTCTCAGACCTATTTTCACGCAAAAATATTTGGATTACTACCATGTTTAATCCTGAGCAAAAGGTAAAACAGATGAATGCATGTATAAGCATATACTGAAAACTAATGCAGGATTCAAATTATTTATTTATAAAAACTCCAGGCTCAGTATAGAAAGGAATATGCAGAGAATCAAACCCTGTCCTGTCAAGAAGAAAACACATTTTCTTAAGCAATTGTTACCAATGTCACTGATAATTGTGTACAATCCTTCTTTACTGTCTGGATAGATGGGAGGTCTTGCCACATCACAGTAGTGACATTGGCTGATAAAATAGAAAGTTTGTCCAGGCAGGGTCAGTAGTTCTGGCCCTTTTTCTGGCTCATTAGCAGGATAAAATTTAAATTTGGATAGAACTGAGCTGAAGGGATGGCAAAACACAGCCCCACATCAGGATCCTCTTCAGAGAAAAAGAGTAGCCTGGTCAAAAGCCCCGGCTCCCAGCCACAAAATTATACAAGCATCCTAACAGCTTGTTCCTGCTTACACAGCTGATGGAAAGCTCCTAGAGCAGACCTGAAGTTCAGGGTAGATTTATAAGCAGGTTTTTATTTATTTTTCTGGGCTTGCCTTCAGACCTAGTAACCACAATAGTATTGGCTAAAAAAAATTTCTTTATAGTCTTCACATTTCATCTGTTATTAACTCTGGCAACACCAGAGTTCCCTTCCATGGTGAGAGGCTTGGAGCTGGGACCCTGGACAGTGCTCAGCACTTCTGTAACAGGGCAAGGGTCGCAAGACTGCTCTCCACACCATGCTCCAGAGCCAAAAAGCTGACAGGGTGCCAGAGAGGAGAAGGATTCCAACCAGCCAAGGACCAAGCTGAGGGCCATTCCCAGGATTCCTAACAACAGGCTCTCTGACAAATGTGTATTCATCTCTAAAACATATCTATCCAGTGCAAGCAATGAATAAACATTTCAAAAGCATTATACATTGCTGCAAGCAGTTTAGTAGTTACTGCAGCTATCTATTGTTGCATCTACTTGATACTTATTCAGATCTTATTTATGTATTTTCAAAATTCCTCTCACAGAAGCTAAGTGAAAAACATTGAATGCTCATTGTTTTGCCTGTGTTGTTATAATAATCCAGAAAATTCCCATTGTTCAAATCCCTCAGGCCAGCAAACTGACCCTTTTACAGTCATTGCCAGAAGCTCTTAGAAACAGGGTTTTCTCACCTATGGCTAAGATGACTTTTTGACTCTTCATGAAGAGCAAGACAAGTCACACTGCCTCTGGGCTGGAGCAACACACTGACAACCCTTTGTCTGGAGCCAGTTCCCTTTTCCTGCCTGTTCACATATCCGTTCCATAGGTGGAACCTGAACCACACGGAGAGGGCCAATGCACGTAGGAGGGGAGCAGCTGCAGCCGTGATCCCAGGCACAGCCCTGCTCATCAGCACGGTTCTTGGTTGCTAACTTTAGCCTCGTTTCTTTCTGATGGACACCTGCAATCCTTGAACAGCTCTAGTTTAGCAAAATAAACAATTGTGGGGGGCTGGGACTCAACCTTGGCTGAATTAAATTGCTCTTTCCTTTGAAGGAAAACATACCTGTTTCTAACTTGGTAAATCCAGACTGTCTGGATTACAGCTAAGAACTAGGGACAATTCAGAAAGAACAATTTAGAAGAGCAGTCTCCGTGTTCTTATGCCTCAACTGCTGGATTTGATTCCACTCTATTTTAAACCTTATTTAAGATGATACAGTGGAATAATTAGGGAAGCACTGGGAGATGTTGCACAGAAGTTATAGCCTTTTGTGCCTCATGCAGCTTGGGCCACCAGGGATTTCTTACTCTGCTGCACAGGGAATTTTGGGCACGGATCAGACTGGAGCTGAGCAGAAGGATCCATGACAACACAATTTCCTGAAAACTCTCCCAAGTGGAATAGGGGCTGTGAAAGCCATGGGAACCATGCCAGAATTCAATCAGAGCCACAGACCAACTGATGATTCACTCTCTAGCAAAGGAAAAAAGACCCAAACCCAACTTTATTTTAATTCAGGCTTTTCTCCTACTTTTGGCTCTTGTTCTGCAATGCTCTGCACATGCTGAGTTTTAGACTTGAGAACTCCATGGACTCCTGGTGAACCAAAAGTCAAGTAAATGCATAAATATCCATCTCCCATCTACTCTAGGACCACCCAAATAATTGCAAAGGTGTCTTAAAGACAGAAGTAGATTAACTAGTGTAAATCCAAATCACATTTATAAATGCTTATTGGATCAGGGCCTTTTATTTGTACAAGAAAAGACAATTGCAACAAAGTAGAATATGGTTTTACTCATTAAATATGAGAAACACTGCTGGTAGCATATGTTCAATTTTTCTTTTTAGCACAGCTTTAGCTACCATATCTTGACGAATCTCTTCTATTTTATAAACATTTGGTACGTGTTTTACAAAAAAGTCTTACTAACAGAAGGTTTAACTAAATAATTGATACATGATTCCTGAACTAAATATTAAATGCACTAGATCTCTTTTTTCCACACAGTTGCTACCATAACAGTAAGTATCGTCTACAAAGCAGAAAACATAATTTTGAAATCTCATCTGAGCAGAATTATAATTGAGAGTTTGTTCACATACACCCCACATTTATATCCTACCAACATGCCAAAAAATACAGATGTTCATCACAAGATGAGATAAAAGGATGATTGCCAAAGACATAATGAAAATGCTTTGGTTTAATCTATTCATCCCAAGGTACACTGTCCAATTGTTTCAAACATGTTTATTTTACTAATAATTTTAGAAATGTGGAGAAGAGAATTTTACCTACTTACACCCTCTAGTTCCATCCCCCAGGAAAATAGTCTAACGTGTGAAACTTAGAATTAAAAATGAAGGTGGAAAGTTGTTGTTGCTAGTTCTAAATATAACAAATAATGTAGGCTGTGGAAGGCTAATGAACACAAATTGTGACTTCCAAAGCTGTATATTTAACCATTTGCAATGTGACACATGTAGCTAAAGGCAGTAGAAAAGTCAGGACAGTAATTCATTTGCCTAGAATATTGAAGTAGGAGTAATATTACAGGCTTAATATGTGAGCTGGCTGTGAAATACACTTTGCAGTCCATACAGAACAGTTTAAATAACACTGATTATTCAAAGTTTCCTATTGCCTTTGATTCTGAAATATTCTTTGCAAAAGGGTGATATATATAACTGACTATGCCCTGCATGGATTATCATTAGTGAAGAGCAGTATTATACATTCTAATCTAAAATTAATCCTGAACTAAATAATGGTGATAAGTCAGACATAAATTTTGAAGTGAAACCTCTTGGCTATAAAATGAAACAGCCAACCATGCTCACTGGTAAAATTTTTAACAGATTTTACAGATGTAGCTCGGATAACAGATACTTGTACTTGGCTGACTTGAACTAGAAGAATATCCAATAATTGAAAGTATTTTTACTTAAATACTTCTCAAACAAAAAATGTATTACAATATAAGAACATTTTATATGTTATAAAACAACCTTTGACAGAAGATAAAACCCAGCCTTTCTTTTTTTCATTTTCT